CCCCCAAGCCAGCCAGGCTCCAGAGACGCTTCCAGAGACTCACTTGATCAGTTCGGGGACACATTCTATGGTGGGGGTCTTGGAGGTGAAGGGCGAAGCCACCGAGGCCTCCTGCTCCGAGAGTGAAATCCCGGCATGGGCCACTTTCAAGGCCTGGAAGGAAGGCTCAGAAGGTGAGGAGAGCAGAGCCACCCACGATGCCCAGGAACCCCAACCCCCCCCCTCCATGCCCATCCCTGTTGCATTCGCCCCCACTGGCCATCCCCTCCTGCCTTGAGATCGGGGACGTTCCTGGAAGACAAGGGTTTGGGCCGCTACTGACGGACGTCCATCGGACATCCAATTTGGGGGGGGCAGAACCCTCCAAGCACCCACTGCGGGGAAAGTGGAGGGGGGGCTGTTTGTGCCCCCGGGTCCCACTGGCAGGACTCCCTTCGGGCCTGATCCAGCTTCACCCCCTAGGCTGCCCAAGGGGATGGCTCCATAGAGACACCCGCCATCTGGCCAAGGAGGGCCGGAGGTCTGCTCGTGTCATCAGGTCCTCCCCAGAATGGACCTGCCGGGGGCAAGAGGGCTCCCAAGCCTGTTTTCTTAGGCGACAGACAGTCCTGGCACAGAAGACTTGACTCTCAGGAGCATTGCTGAACAAGACTTCCACGCTCACCCCACAGTCATTGGCGCCGTCCCCGCACATGCCCACGAAATAGCTGGAAGGCAAAAGAGAAAGAGCCGCCGTTGTGAATCCAGGTGTGGGTCGAGGGGGCTGCCCTCGACCGGTGGCGGTGGCAGCAGCACCACTTTTGGGCTCCTGGCTCCCATCCCCTGAGCAGAGAAGAGGGGGGAGGCGCGTGCCCACAGGAGCAAACCCCCCCCCGACCCTCCTGCAGAGCTTTGCAAAAAAAATCAACCTCAGCGGGTGGCTCGCTCTGCAGAAAGTGAAGCCCAGGCCACCTCGGGCACCTTCTTGATCTCTCCGGCATGCCTGTGGGCCCCCTGTGTACCCCACAGCCACCCTTAGAGAGAGGGTCCTCTGCTGTCTCAGAAAGGACAGGATCCTGCCAACTGTGAAGCCTCCGAGGGGATGGGGAAGGTGGAGAAGGGGGTCAGGGGGAGGAGCAGCCATGGGGAAGGTTGGCAAGGAGAAGTTCTGGAAGCCCCAAATATCTCCTTCCACAAACACATCTCTTTACTCAGGCAGATGTCCAGGTTACTCACTCCAGCTTCTGGAATTCTTGCACCAGGCTGGCCTTCTGAGCAGGAGACATCCTGGCAAACACGGTCCCGTGGAGGAGAACCTGCAGGGAGAGGCAGGGGAGAGGAGGAGAACCAACCCTGGCTGCCCAGGGAGCTCAGTGGCCTGAGGACTGAGAGGCGCCCGGCCGAGGGGCTGTCGAAGGAAGGGCCGAGGGCCGAGCCAGGCGGCGGGCTCCGTGAAGCACCGTGTCTGTCGTAAGCGCCAACTAGATGGGGCCAGAGGTCTGGAAGGCGCACTGCGGCTCCCTTGAGAACAGACCCGCGGGCTGCTCTGGCGCAGGCGGCACCTGCAGGAGGGCCAGCCCAGCCCTCGACTCACCTTTGGGAGCAAGTGAGGGAAGTGCCGAACGAGGACGTCGTACGACCAACCGCTCAGGCAGAAATGGAGCCTGCCGCTGCTCCCAGGGTCGGGGGAAGGCCCACCTTCAGCCTTGGGGTGGCCCTCCTGCCGAAGGAAAAGGGGGGAGGAGGTAATCTCCTGCTTCGTTGGGGACTCTCCTCCCTCCCCCCAGAGCTCGGGGCCCACCTTCAGCCTTGGGGTGGCCCTCCTGCCGAAGGGAAAGGGGGGAGGAGGTCATCTCCTGCTTTGTTGGGGACTCTCCTCCCTCCCCTCAGAGCTCGACCCCCTTCCTGGCAAATGCTCGCCCCCTCCTGCCCCTTCGCCCCAGCCTCCCCCCCCGGACACGCAATCTGGACCCTAAGAAGAAAGGGATCCCTGGAGGGAGGAAGCAGCCTTGGGGTGGCCCTCCTGCCGAAGGGAAAGGGGGGAGGAGGTCATCTCCTGCTTTGTTGGGGACTCTCCTCCCTCCCCTCAGAGCTCGACCCCCTTCCTGGCAAATGCTCGCCCCCTCCTGCCCCTTCGCCCCAGCCTCCCCCCCCGGACACGCAATCTGGACCCTAAGAAGAAAGGGATCCCTGGAGGGAGGAAGGAGAGGGAGGGAAAAGCTAAACCCAGGACAAACCAACTGGTCAGCTGTCAAGGGCAGGATGGACCCACCGAGCCTTTCCAGGGGCAACTTCACCATCCCTTTCTCTCTGTGTTTGTGTCCCTGACCTTCTCTCCCTCTCCCGCTAGACAGACATTGGGCAACTAAATGGACAGGAGACAGGAGCTGTCCTTGGGGGGGGGTGCCCATTTCCCTGGTTTCTCCTGCCTTTCCAAAGTGCTTGAAATGAACAGCGCTTTCATGTTATGGTTTATCTAACTCCATTTTGATATTAGAGTTCATTGTGGTTTTTTTTTTTACTATTATCTGGGTTGTCGTTTTTTTAACTTTAATTTTAATTTTTAACTTTAACATGTTTGGTGAAGCCACCGTAGGTCCCTGCCTTGGGAGAAAGCCGGATAGAAAGGAAAGGAAATAAGTGAATAAAGCAAACATGAACAAATACATTAAGTAAGCAAGCCAGCAGGGGGGAGGGGGTGCACTAGCTGATCTCCAGGACCCCCATCCCGATTCTGATTCTCTGAGCCACCCTGAGACCCTGCGCCCACCTCTCCAGCCCCCTGAGCAGAGAGGAGGTGGCAGGGCAGCAGCAGCCGCCCCTGGCAGAGAGAGGCGGGTGAGGCCACTGAGCCGCCAGGCGCCAGTGCCCGCTGGGTGCCTCTGGCTGCTCTGATGTTTCTTGGCTTCCACTCTTTGCAGAAAAAGTCCCCACCCAGAGCCGAGCTGGAAGGGCAATTAGGGGTGGGTGGCAGGGAGGCCGAGGGGCAGCTGCTCGGAGGGTTTCTTCCTTCTCCTCCTCCTCCTCCTCCTCCCGGTGGTGGTAGTGCTTGGGCACCCCTGCTGTCCCGCCTGCCCAGTAGCCTCTGGACCGCTCACCTCCACCCCACTGAAGCCACGCCCTTCCCTCTCCTCCAGGAGGTTCCAGGCGATGGAGGCAGAGGGATTGCCCTCTGTCTGGGCACTGGCCTCAACGAGGACCACTTTGCTTGCCCGTGGAATCATGCCAGCCTTTCGGGCGACTGTGATGGCAGTCTGGATGTTGTCCCCTGGAAGATCAAGCAGGAGAGAAAGAGAGAGACAGAGAGAGAGAGAGAGAGAGAGGTGGTCCTGGACCCCCCTGGGCGATGCCAAGAAGGCTGGAAAGAGGGCAGAGTCTGGGGAGGTGGGCGAGCGGATGGGAACATCCCGAACAAGGCTGGGCAGCCCCTTTCCTTGCTGGACAGACCCAGCCCAGGACATTTGGCTGCCTGAGGCCACCACCACCCTCATTCTGTGCACAGAAGCCAATGGTCCCAGGGTGCGCGGGTGGGGATAAGCCCTTCCTTCAGGTGGGTGGGATCTTCTAAGGCTCCTGAGGACAGAGGGCACAGAGGGCCGGCCAGAGGGCGAGAGCCATGCCAGCATTTCACCACGGAGGGCTCAGCACCGTCTTGCCCACCAACTGTGGCCACTTCCCCTGAGCCCCCCCCCAGGGCACTCCCTTGCTGTGTTGGCCTTCATCAGTGAGTCAGGAAAGGCCTCCATGCGAGGGGGGGCGGGGTGGGAGGGGAGGAATAGCAGCCCACCTGTTACCATCACGCTCCGGATGCGGGCATTGCTCAGCTCCTCCAGGACCGGCGTCGTCTCGCTCTTCAGCCGGTTCTCCATGACCAGCAGGCCCAGGAAGGTCAGGTCCGACTCTGCCTCCTCTCTGGGGCAGAAGGGTCAAAGTGTCACTCATCCCCTGGCAGAACAAAGCCACCCTAACCCTTCCCCGTGGACACGTCAGCTCTCCAAAGGCCTGGAGAGGCCAGCAGCACTGCTCCCAACCGGGCAACTCAGGAACACTGCTGGATCAGGCCCGGGCGGCCCCATTGACCAAAGCATCTCCGTCTCCTGCTCGGTGCAGCTGGTTGGTTCAGAAGCTGCCCACGAAGGGGGACAGAGGAAGGGAGGCCTTTGGCTCTCCATGGCTTGCTCGTGGGGCTTCCCAAATGCCACCAGGTCAGGGGTGTATGTCCATTTTTGCACCTCTGCCTCCAGCATGGAGCCGCCCGCATTGACGCCCTTGGCTTCAGAGCTACCCAAACCTCAGAGTCCAAGGCAAATGAGAAAGACCCGTGTTCCCCCCCCAGGAAACCCCTTAGCATTGCTCCTGCTTCCCAAGGGGGGGAGCTTGGACTTTGCTGCTGGGAGCCACGCCGTGGGTGGGCCGGTTGGCTCGTCTCCCGCCTGCACTGGCAAGCCTCCGCTCTGCTTTCTGGGGGCCTGAGGACCCCCCTTTCTTTCTTACAGGAAAGGGTCTTTGCAAAGGAAGGGGTGCCCATGCCTTTTCCCAAGGCCACCTACGGCAGGTCTCGATCCCCACCTTCCGGCTTCTTCCTCCCCACCCCCACCCCCACCACAGGTGCAAACTCTTTCCCCTTTACCTTGACAGGGAAGCCGCTTCCACCCCTGCGGGCAACGCTTTGTGTCCCAGACCAATGACTCGGAATCCTTGCGATGTGTAGAGCTGGAGTTCACGGGTGAAACTGGTGGGCACTGGGCAGAGCGGGGTGGGGGAAGAGAAGAGACCGTCAGGCTCCCACGGAGGGAGGGGGCTGCCCCGAAGCAAATGCGGCAGAGGGTCCTCGTGAGCTGTGGCCCCACAGGGAGAAGCACCCCGGCGTGGCTTCGGAGACTGGCGCAGGGCGTTCTTTTTTTGGGGGGGGCAGCTCCACTCCCACCGGCTGCAAGCAGGATCATAGGGGATTGAGAGACAACAGGGCAGAGCAGCCAGACAAACATGGGTGGCCTGGTTCTGTCTCTGCCCTTCCAAGAATGGTTTGGGAGAGACAGGAAGCTCCTAAGCTGGCCGGGCTGGTGGAGAGGTCACCAGGGCTGGCAAAAGGCCACCAGAAGGAAGGATGGCCAAGGGTGGGGTGGGGGTCTCTCCTCTGGGCATTCACACAAAAGGGAAACCCGAAAGCCAGTCCCTCAAGGCAGGGCCTTGTCTGAGGTGGCTCCCAGAATGCAGGATGCTCTCCCTCGAGAGGTCAGGCTGGCTCCCTCCTTCACACCCCTCTGCCAACAGCGGAAGACCCACCTTTGAACAGCAGGCTTTTGACCATCACGACTAAATCCCTGAATGCCATTTCTTAGTTAAGGTCGATGTTTTCATTGTCCAATTATGTTTTCATCAGTTTTATAGCTTAATTGGTTTTTATTGTGAGAGTCATTCTGCTTTTAATTCTATCCTTCTAAGTACTGTGATCTGCTTTGGGCCCCCTTAACAGAAGAAAGGTAGCCTCTAAATAAGACAAATAGGTGAACGGGGTGTCAGGAGGGCTCTGTGCTGAGGCCAACGAAAGGAGCAGAAGGTGGAAAAAGGAAAGGCCGTTACCTGTTTCTGGCTGGCAGAAATGGACCACCCTCTCCGGGGCTCCTTTCATGAAAACGTGGCGGCCCCCGCTGAACTCCTGCACAACGGTGGACATCCTTTGCAGGGCTGAAGAGAACGGGAACTGGCGCAAGATGGCCATTCCTCCCCCGGCCACCTAGGGCAGAGAAGCAGGCGCTGGGCTCTGGCCCAAGGGCTCCAGGCCCTACGGACCCCAAAGGGCCAGCATTTCCCCAGCGTGGGGTTAGTCTGTGGAACTCCTTGCCCCAGGATGGGGTGAGGGCCTCTGGCCTCTAGAGGCCTTGAACAAGGGGGTGGGATGGATTCCTGGAGGAGAAGTCCCAGCCACGATGGGGATCCACACCCCCCTCCAGGCTTAGAAGGAAGGGACCTCCCAAGGTGAGATGCAGGGGGATCAGGGGGATCAGGAGACCGGTCTCTTGTGGTCTCCAAGAGGCATCTGGTGGGGCCACGGTGAGAGACAGGATACTGGACTAAGAGGGACCCTTGGCCTGATCCAGCACAGGGATCTTCTTCTGAGGTCCTTAGGTTCTTTCCACCGGAGAAAGGCCGTCTTGCCCAGGACGCATCCTGCCGTTGCTTCTGCCACCAGCATTCCCGCCATCCCCCCACCCACCGAACTCAGAGCTCAGTCGGTGGGCTCCCTTTCCCCTGCTCAGGGGAGGAGAGGATCTGCTTAGCTTTCCGGATGCAACTATGACCGCAACAGCCCTCCCGCCTTTCTTTAAGGGGGAGGCAGCCGCTCCTGCCGCAGGCAGGCAGGCAGACAGCCGGGACCATTCCTTGAGCTTTCACAAGGGACATGCATAGGTTCCCAAACTTTTTTGCCCCGTAGACCACTTGCCAACTTATTTGTTTTCCGTAGACCCCCTGCCCCCTGTAAAGCTTTGATATAAGTCTAAATTTGCACCCCTATTTTTTTCTCTCTCTAATGTGGACCCTCTGCAAGTCGAAATCAACCCCTGGGGGTCCATATAGACCATTTTGGGAACCTAGAATTTGGGCAATCCAGTACAAATGGACTTTTTGGACTGGTGGGCTAACTGGGACACTTTTTAAAATCCCCAGATATTCTGCTGTGGTTTTTCATCCAAAACCGTATCCCCATGTGTTGAGAAAAACTATGTCTTCCATGTCAAGTGAGGGATTTAAATATATATTTTGAAAGCACTACAGTTTAAGCATCCAATGGGAGGGAACTGAGTGCCGGCGCAACCGTGTGGCCCAGTTCAGCTGCCCCTCCAGCCCCACGGCTCAGCGGGAGGCAGCAGGGCTCACCTGCTCTGCTTTGGCTCCTGGGGTGATCACCACGGTGTGGGCCCAGTCTCCACCTCTGCCCTCCTCCTCCTCCTCTTCGGGATCCTCCATTTCCTGTTGGTTTCAATGGGGGAAAATATTCTTCTGTCCTGATAGGATTCCTATCCTCTCTGTGTGTTTCAGTGTGAATCAACGTGGAAAGTGCATGAGAACTGAAAGAATTCCACAGGCTGACGGGATGGGTGTGGGAACCACGCAGCCCCTCCGTCGTTGGAGAAATGCAATGTCCAGCATGCCTCATGTCCGGCTGCAGCTGGTGGGAGTTGTGGTCTCTAAACATTATGCCTTCATCTGTTGATTACACTGGTCAACCACACCGATTAGTGCTGGGTGCTACTACTTCAAAGGAACCTAGACATAACATAACAAAGACCGCTCCTGATTTAAAGTGCCCAGACTGAGGCCCATGGAAGCCAACCCAGGAGGAAGGCAAAGGCTATCAGCACGAGGACCAGCGAGGGTCATGGCCCAATTAATTTGGGAGAAAGCTGCCTTTCTATTTGACCGTATGCAAGTGTTACCTTGAGTAGGCGAGAGGGACCCCTGTGGCCTTGAAGGACCGGTGATGCAAACCAGATAAAGCAATGCTGTAGATTCAGCTGAATCAAATGGGTGCGAGGAGGAGGGGGGAGGCATCCCATCTCCTCAGTCAAGCACGTGGCTCAGAAGAACTGCTTTCCTGGATTCGACCAAGGCCCAACCAGTTGCCCACCCACCTCTGGAGACTCCAACCCCCAAATCCTGGGCCTCACCCTTTGCCGGGCCAAGGGAAGTGAACGCTTGGTCTGCTTCATATGGTCTCGGCAAAGACAGCTCTGGAGAAAAGCCGGGGTTAGGAAACAGGCAGGAGGGGGCGGTGGGCTCAGGGGACAGGGGCTCTCTGGGGCAGAGGTGGGGGTGCCATACGCTGCCACCCCAAAGGGCTTCCGTGTGCCCTGTGTGGGTTCTGTACACAGGCTGGTCACTTCTTCCCCACTGCCAGACCTTGGAAATGCTGCTTCCTGGAGATTACAGGGATTACAACACACACACACACACACCAGGGTCCCACAGTGCCCCCCTCCCTGCTGCCCCCGGGGCACCCACGTCATGCCAGTCCCGGTCCAAGGGGCCGTGAAAGGCAGGAAGGCTTCCCAGCAACCAATGCGGAGTTTTACCCAGCGAGTCGCCTCAAACATCTTCAGGTCGAGCGGATCTCCCTGGATCTTCCCATCCACCACCACCAAGGAGTGGCAGCTGGCCATGGCCGCCCACGCCGGGCCCCAAGGCAAGGGGCGGCCGGAGGAGAAGCGGTGGGCAGCCAGGAAGCTGGCGGTGGAGAAAGCAAGAGTTAACCACCCCTTGCTGAGAAGGGCAAATGGCCACCCCCCCCGCTGTGCCTTGACCCAAGAGAACCCGAGGGAGGGTCTGGGGGAGCCTGCCCAGCGGTTTGTGAGAGACTTTCCTCCCTGAATTGAAGGGCAGACCCCTTGCCGCGTCTTTTGGGGTGAGTGAGGGCCCCCATTTGCCTTCCAGGCAAGGCCTCCTCTTGAAACATCATCATCATCATCATCATCATCATCATCATCATCATCATCATCATCATCATCATCATCATCATCATCATCATCATCATAAAAAACAAGCCAACAGCAACAACAAGAAGAAAAAGCAAGAGGCCACCTGCCCACCCTGCAAAGGCCATTCTCAGTCCCCCCCTCCCACCCCCCGGTCATTCCCGATTGCCCCCTCGGCCTCTCCCTGATGGAGCAACCAAGGCAGGGAAGAGGCCGCCTGCAGGCTTCCCTGTAAGGGACGTGGAAGATTCGGTGGCATTTGGTTTTCTTTCTCAAAGGGCTTAAGACTGCCGCTGGAAATTGGCTCTTCACACAGGAAGCGCTGAGCCTACAACCGCTCATGGGCTTTGGAGTCACAAGAAGCGGAAAGCGGCCGAGGCTCCTGCAGAAGGGCTGGGAGACCCGTCCCCAGAAGCAGGACTTCAAACTGGGGGTGGGTGGGTTTTGAACACCCCGCGTGATTAGGTGGGTGGGTGGGTGAGTGGATGTCTCAAGGTGAGCAAGACCTGGAAAGAGAAGCTTGCCAGGGTTTAAGAGAATCCGGGCTACAGATGTCCGTCCATCCAGGCTAGCCTGCACTCTTGCGCTTGTGCACCACGGATCCTGCAGTTCATTCAGACAAGAGCGGAGGACCAGCCGTCGCAAAAGGCAGGCAGGCGGAAAGACAGATGGAAGGACAGACAGGGAGGGAGGGAGGCAGACAGATAAAGAAGGCTCTACCTCTTTCCTTGAGCCAGGACAATCCCCCAGAGGTCCAGCCCGTCTTCTGTCAGGGTGCCGGTCTGTTTGCGGGCCCACGGATGGATCAGCCGATGCCAGAGCAGAGGGAAGAAGAACACCGAGAGGGAACTTTAGGAGGAGATCTTCCACAGGAGAAGGGAGAGGCGTCTGCTGGGCTGTGCAGAGGCGGTGGGAGGAGGAGAGAAGCCCCTTCCAGGGGCCATCTTGCCTCCAGGGTGGGAGCAGGGATGAGTTCGGCTTTCGGGCAGGGCTCCAGAGAGTACACGGGGCCCCTTGGATCCTGGCCCCATTGCCATGGATGTGCCGTCCTCAGCATACCTTGGTCTTCCCACCACCACCACCACCACCCAAGCCGGAGGGCCAGTGCGGGGCAGGTCCACCCCGCCATCATCCCTCCTTCTCTTAGCCTCTGCAATGGGTACGGAAGCCCAGGTGGTCCTTCTACAGGCCACGTTCCCTCTCAGGGAGCGTTAAGTTAAGAGCAGGCGCCGTGAACTGCGTTCGGGGGCACAAATCTCAGCACCTCCAGTGGATATCTGGGTGGTGCCCTCAGCCGATCTCTCCTGCCCCCTTGGCATCTCCTTGGATCAGACCCTCTTTGCCCCTCAACCTTTGGTCCAAAAGAAGGTTCACACACTCACACGCACAGAGACACATACAGAGAGAAGGGGAGGGGGTCAGCCTGGCGCTTTGGAGCAAAGGTGGCATCGGAGGGGCCGGGCGGAGGTTTCTAAAAGCTACAAGGGATGGAGGAAAAGGGGCCCAAAGGCGTTGCCTCCCCATGAGAAGAATGCCATGACTTGGGGGTTTCATTCCTCAACCCTCGAGTGGCAGGAGATTCAGAACGGACCAAAGGGGATTCCTTCTTCACACACCCCATCGCAAGCCCCTGGAGTCGCTTCCCCTTGGCTTGGGGACTGCCCTCCATCCAGACAGCTTCGTGGCACAATAAAGCAAGTCCACGTGTGGGGCAGTGGTGGAGAGAGGGAGATGAGCAAGGGCTAGACTTTGTGATTCTGCCTCTGGGGTCCGAGGCCCCAGGTTTCCAAAAGACGGCTGTGGGGTTCCTAAAAGTCCCTGACTGACTGACCACAGTAGGAAATGGGATGCTGGACAAAAAAAAAAGGCCCTGGGCCTGATCCAGCAGGGCTCTTTTCATGCTCAAGGTGCCTAAGCAGTCACTCAGTCCACCCAGCAGTTGGAATGTCTGTGAACATCCTATGGCATTGCAGCAGCCAGACAGAAACGAAGGCAGGCAGGCAGTCCCATGAGATCCAACATCCAGCCGGTCTCTGCTCTGCCCCTCCTGAAGCAACTGAAGTGGCCAGATCTCATTCAGACAAAAGGCAGAGAAGTCTGTGCTCTTGCTCATGACAGGGAGACAAGCTGGGGAGGTGAAAAAAGCAAGCAAGCTGGGCCCAGTGAGTTGCTGATCAGCAGAGGACCCCTCCCCACCTGAGAGAGAGAGAGAGAGCAGGTGGGACCTTGTCAAAGCAGAAGAGGTTTAACTGGCCGCACACGTTGATCCTTTGGGGGCTGATGCAGAAGATGCCTTTTCTCTGCAACCGCCTTTGGGCGTAAATGATCCCAGTGGTCAGCGCAGCTGGCAAAGCCGGGGGCACGGCGATCGTGATCACATCCAAGGCCTTCTTCACCACCTCCCCAGCCTCTTCCTGGTGGACAGAGAAAGGGAAGGGGGTTAGGGTTTCTGGCTGTCTGGATGTGATGGGTGGGTGTGTCCCCATGGCAAGGCTGTGTGGGTTGGGAGTTTGGCATTCCTTCCTTACACCCAAGGAGCATCCCTGCTAGAAAGTTCTCCAGCCAAACTCGGTGCTATCCACAGGGCAATGACGGGATCCCATCAGGCGAGGGCCAGGGGGACGTCTCTCTAGTGGAACCCCTCCATGGGGCTGATCTGCGGCTTTCCTCTAGAAGTTCAGACTCAAGGGAGCTCCAGGCCCTACACCTCCCTTCTGCCCCCCTGCCCTTGGCATCACATCCAGGCCAAACTCCAAAACTCCTGTGGAAATACGGCAAGACTTCTGATGTGGACACTTGCCGTGGACTTTAGATCTGTTGGACGTGGAGTGGAAGCTTCCAGGAATTATGTTTTTCCTCTGCTGGGGGACTTGGCGGGCCTTCTGCCACTGGCTGCCCACACAGGCCACTCCCATCCCACCCGACAGGCCCCCGCAACTGCTCACCCCATTGAGCGCAAAAACACAGACGGTGTAGATCATTCCGACAGCCGCGATTCCTATGAGGCACATGAGAAACCGCAGGGCATCTCGGTAGAGCCGGAAGTTCATAGGCTTCGGGTAGAGAATGGATCTCACCAGATTCCCCTTGGCTGTGTTGAAACCTAGAAAGGCAAAACAAAACCTTAGCAGGCAATGGGAACCCCAAAGGTCAGCTAGCAGAGTATGAGTCTCAGCAGACACAAGAAGCAGGGAAGGGCTGAGGGGGGTGTCAAGGTTTGAAACCTTGTCAGTCTAAGAGCTTAGAAGTGATTCAGGAAAATGCAGGAAAGAAGTTTTAGAAGAGGTAGCCATGTGAGTCTGTGCTACCACATGAAGACAAAGCCAAAAGACTAACTGGCATCTTGAAGACTAACTGCTTAGGTCTAAATGTGAGCTTTCCTGGATCAAGTCCACTTCCTCTTATGTCTGCAGGAAAGAAGTAATTTTAAATTGCCTAAAAGTGGAAGTCAGGCAAAAGTGCGGCTTGATTTCATGGTTTTCAAAGCAACCCACCGCTTTCCAAAACAACCAGCTTGTTTGGGAACAAGTTTATTGATAAGATAGCATGTCAGAAGTATATCATTCATAGCATGCCTGTTTTTACGACAAAGCATAAACAATGAAGTAATGTTCTGAAGTGTTAAAAGGGGGGGGGAAATGAGTGCAAGTTTAAAATTCTGCTTGTCGTGTGCTTAAACGTCTTGTCTTGTGCTTTAAAGGAGGAGCACATCATGGGTGTATGTCACACAAGACTGCCATCCATTGACATTAACAAGAATTGCAGCCGTCGGCCGGTCTAACTGTTCGCCAACCCTGCCCTCCACCGACCCTGGCATCCGCCCCCTTGCCACTCAAAGACAAAACAGATTAGATCAGAAAAACAGGTATCTGCGCCAAGATGGAGCTGGCATGGTCACTTCAATGAAGACCTGGAGGGGAGCAGCAGCCCTAGCTACCTGCCACCCCTGCAGAAAACCAGAGAAGCGGAGCCATTGTTTACGCTTCAGATTAAAACACATAAGATATTAATACTGTGGAGATGAGCCAGCCAAGCGTCCCAGCGATTCAGGCATCATCACAAGTCCCTTTCCCAATTTGGAAACAACCCGTTGTTCCATATCCAGTTCTAACTGTTGCTTCCTGTCCCACATATAGGTTTCTCAAGAGATGGATAAGGTGGTCAGGCGCTCCCATTTCTTTAAGGACTTGCCATAGTTTGTTGTGGTCCACACAGTCAAAGGCTTTTGCGTTATCAATGAAGCAGAAGTAGATGTTTTTCTGGAACTCTCTGGCTTTCTCCATAATCCAGCGCATGTTAACAATTTGGTCTCTAGTTCCTCTGCCCTTTCAAAATCCAGCTTGTCCTTCTGAGAGTTCTCGGTCCACATACTGTTGAAGCCTGCCTTGGAGGATTTTGAGCATGACCTTGCTAGCGTGTGAAATGAGTGCAATTGTGTGGAAGTTGGAGCATTCTTTGGCACTGCCTTTCTTTGGGATTGGGATGGAGACTGGCCACTGCTGAGTTTTCCTCTGGTTACTCTCTTTCTAAAGATGTGCCCTCTAGCCCCCCCCTCCCAGCTCAAACCCAGCACCCGGAAAGTGCCCTGGGGAGGCCGCCTCAGCTCACCAGAGAGAGAGAGAGAGAAGAGAGAGAGAGAGAGAGAGACTGACAGGGTGCCTTTCTCTGTATTGGCTGCCAGCAAATGCACATTTGTAGAAGGCAGATATGGAAACTTTTGGAACCCAGTCGGAGACCTGTTCTCCTCCTGTGTCCCTGAATGGAATTCCTCTTATATTGCTTCTTTGGGGTTTTGGGGAGGGAGGAATTACCAGCCCTTGCAATTTTTACTTATCTGAGTAGTCGCATGCTAAGCACTGAGTCATGGCACGTCACCTCTATTCATTATTGTGACTGAATCCCTTTGCGAGAGAAAAGCAGCAGAGAAACAGAAGAAACAAAAAGTCAGAGTTTCTTGTCTCCTTGACCACCACCAACTCTTGCCCTCCTCTCACCCCTCCGTGTCCCGGTCAACAAGTCATCCACCCACCGGTCCGGAGAACCACTGCCTTGGCAGGCCCGTCGCCATCTCCCCTGGCCTGGACAATCTCAGTCCCACAGAAAAGGAGGTGCCTCTTCCAGTCCTCGGCGCGGTTCGTCTGCCAGGGCTGAGCATCCTTGTGCGCTCGGGGCAAAGGGGTCTTGGCAACAGGGATGCTTTCACCTAGAGGAGACCAGGCTGTGTCACAGGAGCCCCCCAAGCCAGTCTCCACCCCATCGGCTCCTGGGCTGAGGAAGGAGAAGGAAATGCCAACGGGCCTGCACTTTGGAGGGTCTCTTTTATTTAAAAAATAAAAATTAAAAAATGGCTTGGGGACTTTTCTGTTTCTCAGCCCACCCAGCCCTGCCCTCCCCAATCTCTTCTAAGGCCAGCCTGACCAGGCACCTTGCAGGCCTTGAAATCTTGCCTGGTTTTGATTCTTTCCTTTCCTTTTTCCAGTCTAAGGATAGACTTCCTGACCCTCCTTTGGGGATTTTGTCCAAGGACGGCACAGCATTTCCTTTGTCCTCCTTGACTGTCAACAGCTGCTTCAGTCCCTCCTCAATCCAGCTTCTAGACCTGGGATTCTTCCAGGAAAGCAAGGATGGGCAGGGGGTCTTGCTGGCCACTAGAGCAACAAGTCCCACGTGCGAGGGTCGGGTGGGCAAGAAGCTCCGGAACTCGAGAAGCAGAGGCCCTGGGTGGTGTGGGGGTGATTCCCACAACGCTTCTCCTCACCCTTCTTCCGTCATTAACTCCCAATAAGAATGGGCTCACAAGGACAAGGGCCACCTAGAGTGGTCGCAAGGACCAGATAGGCAGGGTACAAATAAAATATTTTTAAAAAAATTAAATTAAAAATTAAGGGCAACAGCAGACTCCGGAGGGAGGGGGGATCTGGCTGGTTGCCCTGGCGGACAAGGAAGGCTGGACGGGAGAAGGGGGAGTTGGTTGGATCCAGCGGCAGCCCCCTTCTGAGGGCCACCCTCTCGGGGAAGCGGGACCGAGCGCCTTACCGGTCAGCATGCCTTCGTTCACCGTGCACTGGCCGCCGATCAGGAGGGCGTCACAAGGCAGGAGGCTTCGGCCACCCCCCAGGACCAGCAGGTCTCCGGGCACCAAATGGCTGGACTCCACCTCCTGGACCCCTGGCAGCAGAAGGGGAGAGCCCGAGGTGCCCTTGGCATTAGGGGGGCTGGGGAGAAACCAGCCGGTCCGCGCCGCTACGCTCCCCCCTATAGAGAACCATCTCTCTCCAGCAGGAGACCCAGGACTGCTCAAAAGCGAGGCTGGCCTGACCCCGAGGCCTCTGGCAGGCGATGCTCCCGGATGCCCCCCGAGTGCAATGAGCCCTCCTCTCTGGCCCGCTCTGAGCCCTCCACCGACTTCTCCTAAGACTCGGAGGCACCGTCCGGGTTTATCAGCTTCCCTTTTCGAAGGCTGTCGTAAGCAGCCTTTCAACAGGGGGCTGACGTTAGTCTCAACTCTGGGTAAGAACCACCCACATCCAAGAGAAAGAAGAGGGAGCCCCACAGCATATGGGACAGAGGGTGAAATCCTGCACTCTGTTCTCTCAAGCACCCGGGGAATGTGGATTCCAGCCTTACGTTGCTGCCCATTTCCTGGGCAGGGCCGACAGGCGGACTGGCAAGGAAAGGAACCGGCAGAGGGCGTTCCCTGATAGCCCTGGGCTCTCACCTGTCTCTCTCCTGCAGACCTGGACCAGGATACTATTATGGGATGCCACCAGGTGGTGCAGCTTCGTGGATTGCTGTCAAGTAGGAAGGAAATATGGCACGGAGCCACATCAGTGGGCTGGATAAGGAGGAGGCCACGCAAGGGAAAGCTGACCCTGCTGTGCGAGAGAAATGGGGCGAGTGCCCAGCAGGGCCAGATGCCTGGACGGAGCCACATCAGTGGGCTGGATAAGGATGAGGCCACGCAAGTGAAAGCCCACCCTGCTGTGCAGGAGAAATGGGGCGAGATTGGGCTCAGGGCAGCGTTACTGAAAACGAAGCTGCCTTTGGACCTTGACACTGACCAACTCAGGAAGAGGAGCAGCAATTTAAGCACCTGTCTGGGTGATGCGGTGAAGGCAGCCCTTTGTCAGAAGCAGCTCTCCTTTCAGAGATAACAGACGCCTGCTTATCCCAGCATCAGCTTTCCTTGCCTTGGGGTGCTGCAATTCAGTTTGCTTTTATTTTGTGATCAGCATCCTATTTCCTTAGCAGGAACTTCCTGTGCAAGTCTGATTACTCAGGCATGGAGCTTGGAAGGAATTGCGTGCCTTGGAGGAAACACATGTGTCTTGCTTCGGTTTTGAAGCTGCCACCTCTTAGACTTTGGCCCTCAACCTCCCTTCTCCACCTGGTCTGGATCTGGGTCAAACCAGCTTACTTAACAGAAGCAAAGAAAAGAGAGGGGATCTTAAATCCCATGCCATGCATTTCACCATTTGGGCGGGGTGGGGGGCGCTCAGGGACAGAGTGTTGCCTTGAGGAATCTCTGCCTGAGAGTGGAGCAACTCCTGTGGCTTCAGGCCATTCCCCCCCCTTCCCACCCCATCCCCAGGGTGCCCTCCTCCCCAGCCTCAGGACTCAGGACTCAGCGGATAACACAAAGCTATCCAGACGGTGGTTGTGAGGACTGGAAGAGCAGGGCTACTCTCTGGGGTGCAGCATTGCTCCCGGCACCGATCCGTTTGTCCCTCCCAAGACCTCTACGTAGGCATGAAAATGAGACCCAACCTCCAAAGAAGCAGAAAAAGGCTCTGCTTCCATCCAGATGTTGATAGAACATAAAGAGAAACATTGCTGGGAATACCCCTGTTGCTTTTCCAATGGCCAGATTCAGGGGCCTGGAGCAAGGTCCCCAGACCAGCACCGGCACTTTTGGTGGGTCACGTCGGGAGAGGGCAGAGGACCGGAGGGATGTTTTGCGTGGCTTCCCCAGCCGGGGGGGGGCTTCCAGATCAACAGGGAGGGGTGTCAGAAGAAAATCAGGGGGGGCTTCCCAAACAGAGCTTCCTGCACCCGCGGGGGGTGGGGGGCGTGCGTGGGTGGGGGCTCCTCACCTTCCTGAGGTCATACACAGTGAGCGAAATGGAAAGGAGGGACATGAGGATGATGGCTACAGAGTACTCGATATACTCCTCAGCAAACCACAGGCAGATGCTGAACAGCTGGAAGACGTAAAATGGATTGAGGACCTGGGGAAGCAAAGAAGGACACACAGAGTGGCTTAGGGAGTCATCCGGGCCTTCCTGCCAAACACCCCCACTCCTATGTGTGTGTGCGCACGCACACATGCACACACACAGAGGGGGGACTTTCCATGCCGTTTCAGCACTCCACAAGGCCCAGACAAAGAGCACGCCTTGCCCGAGAGGGTGGCGAGAGGAGCTCAGCGCTGGGACCGGGCCTTCCTGCCAAACACCCCCACTCCTATGTGTGCGCGCACACTCTTGGGCACAGGGGGGATCTTCCATGCCATTCCAGCACTCCACAAGGCCCAGACAAAGAGCACGCCTTGCCCGAGAGGGTGGCGAGAGGAGCTCAGCGCTGGGAGCACTCGAGACATCCAGCCACCTCCTGTTCCAGGAAAGCTTTGCCTTTTCCGGGGGGGGGGACAGGCGAGGGGGAGCCCCCTGGGTCCCTGTGCCGTGTCCACCCCCATTTGAAGGTTTCCTGATGTGTAGGCAGGTGTGAAGCCTGACAGAATTTGACCTCGAGGGCTGGTCGGGGGGGGGGGGGGCCTCCGAAAGGAGCTCTCCAGGGTGCTGCCATTTCCTGAACTGTGGGACTGCTCACACACAGGCTGGTTGTCCTGCCTGGAAGTTCTGTCCTGCCTGAGGAAGTTCAGAGGGAACTTCTGTGACATGAGAACTGGAATCCAGCAGAGGGAGATCCTGCAACGGAGGGCCCCTTGCAACCTACAGGCAAGTTGCTTAACTGCATGGCACTGAAAGAGTTGCTCCCCTGGGGTCCCCCTGTGCCAGCTGATACTTTGTTCTGCTCAGTAAAGAGAGCCCTAGATGCCCTTCATGCCCTCCAACGGGACTCTATGAGTGGAAGGAGCCGTCTCCACCGCAAGAGCCTCGCTGACGCCTTTCTAAGGAACATCTGAGGGACAGCTCAGAGATAGAGGGCCATCAGACAGGCATATTGCTCGCTATTTGGTTTGCTTTTGGTGCGGTTTGGTCCACCCTACTTGCTGGCCATCAAATGGGTTTTCAAAGACAGCCGTCCATCCTGCCTCTTTCACAATTGGCCTTGCTCCTTTCTGGCACAGAGCTAGGGCTGCACTTTATGTGGTGCGCATGGGAACACTCCTGATTATCCTGTTCTGTAACCCATGTGGTCAACTGACTCTCAGATAGAACTGTGGATGGTGTCATCTGAGGTGACAACCCTGTGATGTGTTCAGTGGATTGAGACATTAAAAGTGAAGATGGGAAGAAAAACCTTCTTTATTTTTCTTTTCCTTTGTTAAAAATATTTCCCTAACTGACACAGCGCAGTTCTAATATACTAGAGGTGTCTTTTGCTACAATAAGTATAAGACTCTATGTGTAGCATACTAGATTGATGCATTGCTGTAGCGCTATATCACTTTATTTAAAGGGGGAAGAAAGGAGGGGAAGTTGCTGTGCCCCATAGGCAGGGGGAAAAGGCAAGGGTGGGAACGAGGGTGTCAGTAATTGAAAGGGAGACAAATTGGAGTGATCCAAAGAGCTGTCTGGATCCTTCTCGGAGGAAAAGAAATGTCTCCCGTGTGAATGGAAGGATTGATCAAGTGCAAGATGCAACAGATTGCACCAAAAATAAGAACTTTCCCAGTGCAAACTGAATCACTCTGACTTCCCTCATTCGGTTGTGCCCTTGGTTGCTCCTTGAAAGGACTGCTTGAAAGGAAAGCTGTCGGGGTTGCTGGCTGGCCCCGAATGCAGGCACCGGCTTCTCGCAAGGCTATCAAGGGCCTCCATCTCCAGAAGCCTCTTCAGAAGCAGAACTTTAATTAAATGAACCAGCAGATCCAACTACCCCAAGTGGCCTGTTGAATCTGTTCCAAAAAACCTTTATATAAGAAGTGCCCGCTAGCAACTGTGGTTGGGCCCACCCAGTGAGAAAGGACAAAATGTTCTGTCTGGAAAAGGCTAAAGCTTGTTGATTAAGCTGTTAATCTGGCTGCTAGGAGCCACTGCTTCTGCAGAGCATTTGAGAAGAAAGGATTCAATCCAGGGCTCTGTCTACCCTCAAGGGGCTGCGGGCAAGATCCGCCACCTGGGATCTCTCAGCTGAAGCCCACCAAATTCTCCTCTTTTCACTGGGGCTTCGGCAGGAGAGCTTCCCCCCCACCAGGGCCTTTCCACCCTGGGGTGGGGTGGGGGACAGAAAGGACAGCCTTCACAGCACTTCAGGGATGGACGAGGTGGAAGCGGAGGGCTGCCCATGTTGGGAAGGATTTTGCAAGGGAACCGAGCACCGACCGCTCCTCTCTCTGTCTGAAACCGAGGCAGAACCCCAGAGGGAGGAAATGTATTCCTAGGCATCTCCTCCTGACTCAGATCTGCCTGGACAACCTAGGTTTACATTTTTCTGACATTTTCAGTGCCCCCTCCCAGCCTTCTTTTGAAGGGAGGGGACACTTTGGGGGTGCCTGTCTACTTTGCTGGTTTGAACAGGCAGAGGTACAAGACATCTCGTTCAGAAAACTGGTATTTGACTAAAATGCCTTTTTTTATCTGCAGGGCTCCATAGTTTGGGACAGAACTCCCTGATTCCTGAAAGCCAAATTTTGACTATTCTGAAAACTTGAAACTCAATTTGGCAACAATTTTGATTTACCAAACAAACAAACAAAACAAACTCAGACCTCCACTTTGCACTGTCGGCAGTCTAGTATATCCTCAAAGATGATCAAATGGATTCAGATTTAGTGTGGTGCAGGTTTTCATGAACAAGGAGCACATTTTCCAGACATGAGGACCTCATGCTCACGGGGGAACCCACAGAGCAGAAAACCTTTCACACCTCCTCAAACTGGACATGCCAGGAAAAAAATGGTCTGAGATGCTCTGGAGTCTGAAAGGCTGCCAAATACCAAATGCCAGGCTTAGAATCCTAGAACCGTCGAGTGTGAAAGCACATCCATACCTTCAAGCATCCCTGGAGGGTGGCCACCCAACCACTATTTTAAAAAATCTCCCATGGAGGAGAGTCCACCCCTGACTGAGGCCACCTGTTCTCCTGCCAAATTGCTTCTACTCTCAAAAAGGTCTTCCTAAGGTTTTGGCCATCTCATGAGAAGAGAAGACTCCCTGGAAAAGACCCTGATGTTGGGAAAGAGTGATGGCAAGAGGAGAAGGGGACGAAAGAGGACGAGATGGCTGGACAGGGTCACCGAAGCGACCAACATGACTTTGACCCAAATCTGGGAGACAGTGGAAGACAGGAGGGCCCGGCGTGCTCTGTCCATGGGGTCAGGAAGAGTCGGACACAACTTAACAACTAAACAACAACAACAAGGTTTTGGCAAAGTCTCCTTTCCCATAATTTGCAACCAGTACTTGAGGTCGTGCTCTCTGGGGCTTCAGAAAACAAGCCTGCTCCGTCTCCCATGTGGTTGTCCTATTATCTCCCAGTCTTTTTTTCTCCAGCCCAGACATCACCCAACCTGCTCAAATATTATTCACAAAGCTTGGTTTCTAGACCTTCTGCCACCTTGGAGACCCTCCTCGGGACACATTCCAGCTTCTGCTGATCTCCTTCCTAAAGTGTGGTGGCCAGAACTGGGCACACCTTCTCCCAGGTAAGGCCTGACTGAAAGCAGATGAGAACCATAGTCCAACTTCCCTGGATCTCAATGCAAGACTTCTGCTTATGTGACCGGCCACTGCATTTGCTTTCTTTGATGCCACACCACCCTGGAGACTTACGTTAAGCTTGCAGTTTACTAAGATGCCCAGATCATTTGCACATGGGCTACTCCCAAGCCTGATTTTGCTTTTCCTAAATTTGTGCATCTGATTCTTTTCCTGCCTAAATGCTGGACTTTATATTTGTCTCTATTAAAACAGATTTTGTTTGGGTTTGCTCAGCTCTCCAAGCTGTTAAAATATTTGAACCTTGATTCTGTCTTCTGAAGTATGAAATGCCCCTCTCAGTGTGGCGTCATCTGAAGAATATGGTGAGCCTACCCTTGCCCAAGCCAATTGTAAAGTTGTTGAATAACTCTGGGGGCAAAGCACAATCCTCTGGCACTAGTCCCCCCCCATGTGACTTTCCTCAAAGATAACAACAATGAGCCATCAGCAGGGACTCCAGGTCTGGCCTATCGGAGGGCTACAAGGCCTCCTACCAGGAGCATCGCCTGACCCACATTTTGCTAGCTTGGCCACCAAAATATCATGGGGATCTTGTCCAAAACCTTGATGATGTCACAGTATGCTGTATTCGCAGCATTTTCCAGATTGGCTAAGCTTCTAACTCTATCCAAAAATAAAATTAAAGCAAGGAAGACTTGATTAGTCTGGCATGACTTGCTCGGAGAACTCCATGAGGTCTCCCTGACATTGCTGTGCTCATTTTTCTAAGTGTTGAGAGACGAAGTGTGGAATGGCCTCATGGCACAGCAGATAAACGGCAGTTGTTGTTGTTGTTGTTGTTGTTGTTGTTGTTTAGTCGTTAAGTTGTGTCCGACTCTTTGTGACCCCACAGACCAGAGCACATCAGGCCCTCCTGTCTTCCACTGCCTCCCAGAGTTTGGTCAGAATTCACGTTGGTCGCTTCGGCGACTGCAGTACTGCAACCAAAACTCTGCTCATGATCTGGGTTCAATTCCAGGTAATCAGCTTGAGGTTCACTCAGCCTTTTTTCCTTCTCAGGTCAGTAAATTGAGTACCCAGCTTGCTGGAGGGGTGGGCAATGTATGCATAATTAAATTTCAAACCACGTAGAGAGTGCTTTAAGTGGTTATGGGGTGATCGATAAGCAGCACGCTTTGCTTTTTGCTTTTAGAGCCTTTTTCTGTTGTGCACACATGTGGGGCCACCGGTGGCCCAAAGTGTTCTCCTGCCTACGACTCAAGGGACGTGGCCCGCCAGCCCAGACTCCAACGCAGAAGGTACCTCTTTGATGAGCAGCTTCCAGATGGGTGTGATCTCCACGTCGATGGTGTTGGCCCCACAGATGATCTTCCTGAGGATGGGCAAGTGAGAGATGGGGACCTGGGCAGCCGTCCTCAATTGCACCACATGAGAACAAGGTCTTCCCATCACTTTGCCACCAGCCACCACCTCCCAGATTCCAAGGAGAACTGCCGGCGCCACCCCCACCCCCACGTGCCTGTTGGCCTGGGCCCCTGGCATGAGGACCAGCGGCTGGCACCCTGAGAGCCATGCCCTGGCTGCTGTGGGATGAGCCCCTGGGGAAGGGAGGGAAGGGAGGAGAGGAGTCTCTCCGGGGAGCAGAATCCCCACGGTTTCTCTCGGGTGGCTGCCTGTTCCGTCCGCTGAGAACAGATGATGCTCGGAGAAGTGCCACCCCACAGAAAACCCTCTGTGTTCATGGAGGGTACCTGATCTCTTGCTCTCGGCTCCCCAGCCCCGACCCAAATTTGGCGTGGATCTCTGAGCCATCCTCAAGGACTCTGAAAGGAAAAGCAAGCCACGTCAGCCCCAAAGGCCTCCTTCCCGTTTCCCCCCAGAATCCCCCTTGTGACCCCAGGCAGCAGCGCCCGGGGACGGGACTCACCCGACCTTCTGGAACCGTTTGGCCGAGAAATCCCAGACGTACCGGATTTTCTGCACCGTGAGGCACCTCACCTGCAACGCAAGCGGAGGGGCAGCAGGTGTGGTGAAGGAAGCGCGGCTTCTGGGGGGGGCACCCTCAAAGTCAGGAGGGGGCCAAATTGGCTGTTAGGACGGTTTGGTTTAGGAAATCAAGCGCCTGAGGAGGGAAGTGGGGGGGGCAGAGCAGGGTTGTGGGGGGAGACAGGCAGGAAAAGGGGCAGAAAGGTTCCTTTCCCCCTCCCCCTTCCCAGGACCAGAGTTCAAACTCGCTCTAGGGAATCAAGTAAGGAGCAAAAGAAACTCTCTTCACAGGTCACAGGATTCACACACGAAACCCGCCACCACACGCATTGGGAAAGGCCCAAAGACCAGCTCAGATGGCTTGAAACTGGCATCAGAGAGAGATCCATGGGGGGGGGCAAAAAGGGGGAGGCAGGCAACGCCAAGCTGCCCCTCAGAGCCCGGAAAGGGAGCTCCCACATGGCCCGTGGCGACGGTGGCGGCGGGATTCTGGGAGTCCTTATCCCTCCATCCCACCCCACCCAGCCTAAGAGAGAAGATGGGGCTTGACTGGGTGGGTGGGTGGGTGGAGGCGGCCCTGGGGGGGTTCTCCCAGGTCAGGCTCTCGGTGGGAGACCCCCGCTCTCCTCAGAGTCGCCTTTCCCCCTCCCATGATGGCAGGTGGCTTTCCAGGTGCCTTTTGGGGACGACACCCCTGCCGAGGGGACCGTTTGTTCGAGGATTAGGCCGCCTTTTCCCGGCGGGTTCTGGGCTTCAGCTTCCCTGCCGAGGAGCTGTACCCAAGAGTGGCTGAAAGGACCCATTCTTTGAAGGATTTGGGGATTGTTTCCCTGTTCCTGAAATACATCCCTTGAAGAATGTGAGCAATCCTGCCCGCCAGCGGTCCGCCCGACTACGGATGCTTAGACCGATCGGGTCCCGGACCTGTTGCATAAATTGGATGGAACCCCTGCGGAGCGAGCGGTGAGCCAGAGCCAAAGGTGGGGAAGTGTGTGTGTGTGTGTGTGTGTGTGTGTGTGTGTGTGTGTGTGTGTGTGTGTGTGTGTGTGT